CTGTAACTATATTATCGTAATAATTTTAAGAAGTCAGACATTAAACGAAATTCTATCCACTTTTTCACAGACCGAATTGTTTAAATTTGTATCAGTTTATTTTAACACAGATTAGCCTGATTTAAAAAAAAATGAACTGTAAAAATATTAATTTTGAAAATTGTTCAGATTCAGTCTTGCAAATAATGGGGGTATGGATTTTTTTAACTGATCAATTTATGCACGAAGTGTATGAGTATTTTCAAACTGCAATTGCTCAGCCAAACTGTAAGAAGTATCAGCACCGTAACATTACAGTACATGTATATTTACATGTACACTCTCGTAATGCCGGTAAGTTTCGAGCCATTTTTTTTTTAATTTTTTTTTATAAATCGTGCTTCTTGTGACAGCAAAATTACGATGATGTCGTCATAAACCCCTATTTCTATATTGTTTTTACATTAGTCCTCGTGTTTCAGATTGCAGAAAGCGCGCATTCAAATACGCCGATTTTTCATTGATCCACTTTATCATCCCCTTGTTTATTTGGGGGAAAAAAAAGGGGGGGTACTCTTGAGCTACATATATTTCCCTCTCAATATATGACACAACTTTATTTTACAGATTTTGCATGCCCATTAAATTTTTTGTCGTAAGAAGCTTCAGGTCAATATTAATTAATTACACTGTTTTTTGTTGTTAATTATACGATTTCACTGGGAATGGAAAAAAAACATCATGTATCATATACGTATCAAACAGAAATAAGAAGACTTTTGTTTCTGAAGTATTAATTTAAAATAATTAATCATAGTTAGAGGAGAAAAATCTTGATTTAGAACTACGGGGTATTCATCAGGATCATCCTACGATGAAAAGCTCTCGTTTTCAGTTGCTGTGTCTAATTAACGATTAGTTCAAATAGAGTAAACTGTGTTTTAGAATCAGATAGCTCATCTGAAAACATAATCACATTTATACTTACAAAAATGACTAAAATTAAACTCAATAAAATACGGTGAAATTACACTAGATCTAATGCGTTATTTACATCAATGGGTCTTTGTGACGTCATAAAAACACAAAATCAAGAACGATAAGCGGGTAACAAATTTATCAAGTGGACAAGTTTAGGCCTTCATTTTTCAGTTAAGCAAAGGCAATTTTTTTTTACTAAACGTGATTTGACTTTCTTTCATACCAGTCTTTACGTTTAAAGTGTAAACTCCTAGTGTTAAGAACTGTTTCATATGACCTTTAACACAGCGTCATAGGCTTGACGTCATAGTTGAGCAGTTGAGACGTCATAGCTTAGAAGTTGTGTGTCAGATTGAAAACATTAAGGGGACGAAGGACATATGGTCACATGACTGTTTATCTACGTCATAGTTTCCGTTTATGAATAGTGCAAAACGTGTAAACCATCGGTTCTTGTATAGACTTTTGACAATTTATTTTGATTTAATTACCATCTAATATGAAAATAATAAAAAAAATTTAACATTCTTGTAAACATTAACAAATTACGGAATATGTTGTTCCACTCCTCTGATTCCCTACACTGCGCGTCCAACAAGTCGGTGACGTCATACACAATCTGTCAGTACAGCAAGATCATACTCGGTGAATACTGGCAGTATCGTTGTGTAAAAACAGGTCATAATCAATGTATTATGAGATATTTTGAGAAACGGGGAACATAAAAATTATTTTTGTATGGCTGATGACGGAAATCGTATGTAGGTATATCTTATTTCGTTTATTTAGCTTACGTGTGACGTCATAGTTGGTTTTTCCCGTACTCCAGAAATGTAAACATGACACGTTTTTGCCATGCTTATGTCTTGTTTAACGATGTCCTGAGCAATATTAAGGTCAGCTTCACCATTCGATATTTTTACAGTTAAACAATAAAACGAAGGACTTGCATTTCAACGTAAATTTAAAAATATTGAATGATAGATTTTTTTGCAAATTAATTTTTTTTGTTGTTTAAGTTGTCCTAAAAAGTACGTAATTTTCCCTACCCAGATGCAGTGTAATAGAAGAAACTTATGTTTCCGAATTTTAAACCCTATTCATACTCTGAAATATTTTAAAATATAGATGTCCACTGAGATATTTTTTATGTATTCATAAAAAATCCAAATATGGACAGAGTAATTAGCCCGCAAATATGGAGAATCAAAACTCCACTTAGACACCGTAGGGCATAGTATTTGTCAATCAATATCTCTAAAATAAAGCAAGAAACCTAATGAAATAACTGCTTTAAGATATGTGGGACATACTAAATAAGAAATATACAAAATATGAAAAAAATTGAATGACAAGTATTTTTTCAGCTCTAGGTCCTTCTTCCCCTTAAATAGCATGGATTTTAGCAACATATTTAGGAAGAAATTTGCAGTTTTAGCTCTATCAAGATGCTTAGTTACTATCTCTATCGTATGAGAGGCCAGAAATTATTTTTACTTACTTTAATATCCTTTCACACTGTGAGAGAATATCATTTTTGGTATTCTTTCACACTGAGAGAATATCACTTTTATTCAATAAATAAATCACAGTATTTCACTGTTGAAAATGTAATAATTTAACAAATTATATTAAAAACGTATAACCAAGTAATTATTGCTATAGCGTACCAATTTATGGAATAAGGCTGACTTAGCGCGTAGCAGGTATTCTGTCACATATTTACATGTACAAATCTGAACCTATTTTAAAACAATAATCACAGGTTCAGCAGTAATAAATTTCAAGACCATGGCTGATCGTGAAAATGCTAAAACTATACTTTTAAATTACAACATCTATATCTAGCGTTACTTATAATCAATATGATAGCTGAAAATAATACTTTACAGAAATACAATGGACTTTATTTCAAAACTTCACTCGTTCTCTCTTTCAATCAAAGAAAATATATTACGAGAAGATAAGAAGATGAAAGTAGAAAAGAGATAAATCGTACTGAATGTACTCTGTGTAATAATCATTACCGTCTTCCTTGGAAGACGGTATACAGAGTTGAAGTATTTTACAGTCTTCGGACTATGCACTTCCTCTCTTTTGTGATTGGTAGAAATTGCATGATGAGAAAATTTTCAATTATTTCATTGGTTGAAATGCTGTTCAAGGCAAGGGAGATAATTTTCTGATGATCTAATTTTCGTACGACTTAACAATTTTTCAAAATTTTCAATCATAAAAAAATATGACAAAACGAACAGTGGAAATTGGCAGTATTTAATTCCAAATAACATGCCAGTTTTTTCATAGCAATTACCAAAAAACTTTTCTATATTTTCATTGGTAACAGAATTGATTTTAATTGCATGCAAGCTTTACAGTAAGTATGTATTCTTTTTCCCTTTGCTTTGCACTGTCTTAGTCTCGTTCAACCAGACGCTCGGCTGTCTCCGTAAACTCCGCCCAGCAGAGAGCTCATCGGAGTTTACGGAGACAGCCGAGTGTCTGAATGAACGAGACAAGCACTGTCTTTCTAATCTCGGCAGCATTCGGCAACACCTCGGCCGATTCATACCTCATCTACATAGGTTTGCCGAATGATCTCGGCAGCAGAGCCGAAGTTTACAGAGACAGCCGATCATCTGTCAACTTTTCATTTGGTAGGTTGTCAGAAAAAAAACTAATGAAGAAATACAAAGCCAAGGAATTTTCAAGAATTATACACCCTGATAGGTTTAGGTCAGTTTACTGTTTAAGGTTGTTGCTAAAGACGGTAAGCTTTTTGAAAAAGCTCTACTTGTTGGAATCTTGTAGTTGTAAAACACCTACTATGGTAACCGTCGCCCACGTGGCGCAGTGGTTAGAGCATCTGCTCTAGAGTCGCGGAGTAAGGAGTTGATCCTTACGTCGCGGGTTCGAATCCAACTGCGGGACGTGGAGACCGGTCCTTCGGGTGAGATTGTATAAACCGAGGTCCCGTGTCGCAGTAGGTGCTGGCACAAAAAAGATCCCTCACTGCTCAATGGCCCTGAGTGCCGAGCATAGGTCAAAATTTGTAGCCCTCCACCGGCAAGTGGTGGCGTCTCCATATGAGTGAAAAATTCTTGAGAGGGACGTTAAACAGCAAACAAACAAACAAAACTAAGGTAACCAGTCGAGAAGTGAGTACCCCCGCACACTACCCTGAACAATAGAAAAACTCTGCAGTAGTGTTACAAAAAGCATCTCCCAGAAAATACCTCATATTATAGTTATCCCTCAACCCTGTGAGGAAACCCGTCACAAATCGTACTACATGTATTTGGATTCGTTTCCACCTCTACTTCCAATACTATTCAGTGTTATAATTACAAATGAATGTATACAAATATTTACCTGTGTGCACTAGTGGGTTTTGTTCATGTGATTTCTTACTTTTTTTATGGAAATCCCCGTAATAGTTGGCAATTTAGTCATTAATCTGCTGACCATTGGTCAATTTTTGATGACACTATTTTGATTGTTCAAGAAGAATAATTATAATCTTTGACTCGGGGGGGGGGGGGGGGGGGGTTCGCTTAAATGTCCATTAAATTTCCGCAGGTGAACACTTCTCCCGTTGAAATGTCCAATAAAGTTCCTGCTAAAATGTTAATTAATACCTTTGGAAATTCCACAAAATGTCCTGCATCGGAGTTTTTTATGTGAGTTAAGAGGGAAAAAACAATTTAAATAAAATCTGATGAAGAAAAGCATGACTACTGGGATTCAAGTTAGCGTTATAGCCCATAGACCTTTTGTTACTGTTAATAATTTTTTCTTCCATTTATTAACAACCCTAAAACAAAAAGAAAAAAACATATTGTATACTTGAATATGGGAGATTTAAACATTATATTGTAACAGATATGCTTTCGCATCATGTTTGTAAATAAAGATTAAATAAGCGAATGAAAGCTCCCCATGGTTTGTGATTGGAAATTATTTTAATTTCAACGAGTTGTGTTTTCTTTCACCGAACTGTTGGCGAAGTACATGTATTCTTTTTATTGTGAAAATTAACAATGAAAAGAAATTCATCTACTTTCAGTACCACTACGTTTCTTAATGAACTTCGGCTCCTAAGCAGAGTTAAAGTGGTGGATAATAGCAAAATTGGAAGAAACGCCAAGCAGTCTGGGAGACCCGTGCGGATAATTCACGTGTACAACAAAACGCACGTGGGTCGCCTTGGCGACAGAGTCCTTGTAACCATAGAACACGAAAAAAAGAAAGGGTACATCGTGGGATGTAAACAGAATCAACAACCGTTAATTCCCAAGTTTGACAGCAACAATATAGTTCTTGTTGACGATAATGGACAGCCATTGGGAACACGTATTAGGACACCAATTCCTTCGTGTTTGCGATCCAACACGGACCCGAACTTTGTTAAACTGTTGTCTCTAGCTACTACATTTGTATGATGTAATTGTCTAGGTTTGCGTGTTTGAAAGTCTAATAAAGAAATAAATGACATTTTGAGAAGTAATTATATTCTTGTGTTTATGGAAATGATTGGTATAGGAAAATTGAAAAGGAATGATACTGTAGCTGTTATATTATGCATATAATATACATTAAAGAACTTTATTGAATATAATCATGCAAATTTGTATGAATATTTTGAAAAAATTCTTCAGTGAGATCTGGACGCCATTAATCTTCGTCGTCACTTCCTCCCCGGAATCGGACTCCCGCCGTACTTGGAGTGGATGGTTGAAGAGTCTCTGTCGGAATACCTCGGCGTTTACCGGCTATAGCACTCCGGAGGGAATCCTCTCTGTACGGATCTTTTCCCTGTTTTATCTGATTATGTATAGTCATAAGTTCCCTGAAATAAACGTTGGCAACGGGAATGAAAAAGGTCATTGAATTTCGATACCATTCAGAACAATTAATTTGAAAACATACTTTAATTCAAATCGGCGCTCTCGGGTTTCTTGTAGTGTTCTTTTAAGTTCATGAATTCTGTACTTGCTGATGTCTTTCCCAGAATGCTGTAAACAGATAGTGTAGTTTGATGGAAATGTATACTAGTCTTAATTAAATGGCTTTATGGATATCTTAGAAGTAAACGGATACAATGTACATTAATATGCGCACGGAAGCACTCTTTCCCCATAATATACATGTAATATTCCTCCCCCTTTTTCTGTAAATATTTCCGGATCGTTCCACGCATTTTGACCTACCTTGATAAGTTCAACCACATCGTCTGTTGAAATAAGGACGCCCTTTTCCTCATACGACTTAGGAAAGAGTTCCGTAAGATCCACATCTTCTTTGTCGCAGAATTTGACGATGTACATCAGACTACCCATTAGTGGATCCAAAGATTTCTCCCTCCTGGAGGGTGGTAATCGGAGTGTCACATTGAGGCCCCGTTTTTCTCTCAGTTTGTGAACCAATAACGCTAACTCTGTATGTGCATCTGTTCCCTGTTTATACATTGAAATTTAAAAAGGGACATATATATTCTTTCCTGATTAAGAAGTGTCAACACAATAATAAAGTGAAAAAGGGTAGATAAGTTCAATCTGATATTTTTTGTTGGCGAGAACAAATTAATGCTGATCTCTTCTGCGTAAATCAGTTTGCTTCCATAATGGCTAGAACAAGCACCTGATTATTAAATGGATTTTTTTTTCTGTTTTCTAAGAACACTAGTATAGAGCTAGTGTTAAAGGCTTCTTACATCAAGTTCCAATGTCTGTAACGGACTTCTCTTCTTTATTTTGGATGACCAGGGCTTAAGAAGAGTCATGGCTCCCTCAGAAGTAATCAGGTTATAGGACAGCTGTAAAAATCAAGAATTTTAATATGAATGGCAGAATTATTTTAATGTTACCCATTTTCATATATTTTTAGTTGTAGTGGGGCATTTATCAAGTTTTGCAATTTGCTCCTTATATTAATTTGCGAATTAAAAAACTTAAAAAATATTTAGTACTTGATGCTGAAGGTAGAAATTGAAATGGTATTACGAATTATTTCTTTTGTTAACAGCATTAGTATATTGCGTTAGCTATAGGCTAAAACTATGAAATATTAGAAGCGTCGAAGTTCAAATACAAAATCTATACCTTTAAAGTTTGAAGAGCTTTATTTAAGGGTAAGACCCTGGCAACAACCGTTGCAATATCGTCAGGAATTCTGTTGGCTCCGAGATCAAGAAGGGTCAAGGTGGAATTGAGGCGAAGGCATTCAATTAAGGAACACCCCCCTTCTTTGCCGACCCCATTCATGTTTAAAATGAGACTGTGTAATCGTTGGTTGTGCTAGAAATAAAAAAAATGTTACAAATCAATGAAACTCAGTTTTATTCTGAAACTTGCTTTCAGATTTGAGATTCAATTTGTAATGAGAATTAAAGGGTTATCATTGAGGAACAAAACCAACCGAAAAAAACTTATTATTTCTTTTACAATAAATTTCAACGTTATATTTTGTGAAAAAAGTAAAATCCATCAAAATGCCAATGAATCTTCTTATTTATTTTAATAAATGTATACACTTTTTTACAGAAATTTATAATTTTAACATACTGCAATATAACAGTCCTGCAGCTCTGAATATTACCTTTAGTCCTGTAGCAAGGGCCTGGGCACCAAAACGAGTGATCTGATTCCAGGACAAATCTAAAATCTCCAGAGAACTGTTGGATTCTGTCAAAGGAAAGTAAGCATGGCACTATTCTAAATGACAGAGTGTGTGCAATGTAGTAATAAGGTAGTTCAGATACTAGAATGTATGTACAATGTAGTATTGGATATTAGTACAAGTAGTTGTATATGTGTGCGTGTAAAATTATATATTAAAATAAATTGTAATCATTGAGGAGAATGAAGTATTAAAATTTGAAACGGCTTATCGGACAAACTGGTCCAAGCATGCGGTTAAGGACCCTATTTACACTTCACATTGAAGAGTTCCAAATGCATTGTACTTTTATTCAGTTAAAGTGATCTGTCCTTTGATTATTAGATGTACCCCTCCCCTTTCAATTTAAGTAAGCAACATTTATTTCTCTTCAACAATACGTCGCTGTCGTTGAACACTTCAGGTTCCCGACGTTGAAAATGAATTAAATCAAGTCTACACCGGGTAGACTTTTTTTCAGTCGAAAAAAATCACTAGTGTATAGAGATGTTCTTAACTGTAAGAAAGATTACTCTAAGCATGATACATTTTTATCTTCAGCTTTGATTTGTTTCGAAATTACCTCCTTTGGTATATATAAAATTTAATTTGATTGAATTTCATGTTAATTTTGAAATTAAATAAGTTAGAAAAATTACCAGTAAGGTGGACAGAGAAAGTAAGACAGAATTTCCGTTTAGCATTAAGAGGTCTACAAAATATTACTTTAAATACAAAGAAAAACCTTAGGGGAAAAAAGAAATACACGCACTATGTAAAAAAAAAAACAACAACAACAAACAAACGTTCCACTAAGTGTTAAAATACATGTATAACAAACCAACTTCACCCATTTACCAATATGAAGAGGTGATGAAAACAGTTGTAGGACTGCAAACTTTACTGGTAAATCACCCTTAACAACAACACTTGCCTAAACTTTTCCCAATTTGTGTGGCTGCCTCATCCCCGATTCCGTTTCGTCCTAATAGGAGCTGTTTCATATATTCGTTACTCTGAAATAAATATAACCTCAGTCTACAGAAAGCAAAAGTTTTTTTTCACCAATAACAAAAAAGTATCGAGTGATGACATTATCGTACCTGTAATATACTGGCCATTAGTTTACCCCCAAAATCCTGAATTTTGCACCCTGAAAGAATCAAACACTACTTTTCAAAGATTTTTAAAACTACTTTTCAACTATTTTTTTAAATTTAAGATAAAATAATTAACTATAAAGTATTTGTATATAAAGACATATCCCCTATTACATTAGTTTTTCAAGTTTGACTCAGGTCATAAAAATCAGCTAAATTTCGTACAAGTATGTAAAATTTGGCTGCATTTTCCATAATGGCTAGTACAAGCGCCTGATCTTTTCGTGTAGCCAAACGTGTCTATTATTTGATGATACAATTTTAAGAGCAAAACATCTACATAATTTATTAAAAAGGAAATAAAGCACTTTTAATAATGGTATGAAACTATTCGTATCCGTACCTGTTAAATCTACTTTTCGTATATGAGTATTATTTGTGAGTATGTATCGCACCACCTTGGCTCCTGGGATCCCTACTGGGTTATTAGCCAAATTCTAAAAGAAAATGCAAAAAAAAAAAAAAAAAAAAATCTTTTAAACCACCCAAAACACTAACACACGTCTTAATATTTTTCCATTTGCATTTTTAAAACGGAAAACACTGAAAGTACATAAAAAACCAAATGTTAAAGGACTTATCGCATGTTTCTAAATTATTTGAAACTAAAAGCGTATTATGTTCCTTATGACCACAAATGATAAATTCTGTGTTTTTACTGTGGATAAATCACGGTAATTAACAAATTATTGACTCAAATGAAAACCCCTGAATTAAAAATCTAAGTTAATTAGATAGCGATCACGTGACCCTGTGACGTCAAAGGCGACAATGGCTGATCAGCTCTTCATTAATCTTACTAAAATATATGCGATACAACCTGAATTTTCTGCGTTGTGGACGACCAAATCGCTTATTTTATTGATATAAAATTGAATATTCAACCTTATATGTTAGAATTGTCAGCAAGAAAAAATCTGAAAAATCTGTTAACTTTGTAAAAATACCAGCGACGATAGCGAGGGAGACGCAGCGAAGACGAAGAAACACGCAATAACAATGCAATTTGATTTGTCATCTTATCACATGTATTAACTTCTTTGATTCACATATTGAACATTATATAGCTTTGTTATTCTTTGTTTTGTATATAATATTAATTTATGCAAGCCTTCATACGTTTTTTAAAGTATGGTGATCTTGAAAAATAAATTCCCGATCACGAAACATTGCCGTAATTAGAGCTACAAGTTCTAAATGTTTTGAATAAAAAACGAAAATATCTTAAAAGCCTTATACCTTAGAACTAATTAATGTTTCTGTAGTAATTGAAAAGCATATAAGGAATTAATTTTTTCAGCATTTTTGGTAATTTAGCTGCATTTGCCATTGATAGCTCCGTTAATAGTGTTCATATTCTCATCTCTCTATCACCGAATTGTCGCCTATGACGTCAGAGCAGTATTTCGCCGAAATTCGACTGAAATATGCATATTGCCGTATTTGAATTTCAACTCTCAATATCTCCCAAAATATGCTTTCAACAACGTTTATTGTTTTTAGTATTTTAATAAATAAGGTTATAGATAATATTTTTCATAAAATTACGATTTTTGTAAGATCATGCGATAAGTCCTTTAACGTAAGTCTAGAACAGTCCCGATAGGGCTAATCCCCTTTCCGCG